AGGGATTTCCGCCTCGGGGTTTGCTTTCGCAGGTTCAAACGAAAGTCGGTTCAAATCCGGTAAAACTTTATGAAATCTTCTAGATTGTCGGCAACTTAACCATAATCTGCAAAATTATATAACCTAAATAAAAATTTGGCCTATTCCCTAAACATTAGGATAAACATCAAATCAATATATTGGATCTCGGAGTCAAGAAAATATAATAAATAATAAATAAAAAATTAACCGACGTGGCATTTGAAGACGGATACTTAATATTAGACAATGAACGGTTGTCCAAATTAAATTGTCCAAAGTCAAAGTAAACAAAATGAAAACACTATGACGGAAAACTGTTTCTAACCAGAGGTAACAATATTATCACATTGATAAATTTCTTGCTTGGAGATTAAAAATGAACAATGGGATATATCTATAATTTTATTGGTAAATTATCAAATTTATCAACATGAGAATATCGCGACAGTAAAACTTTCAATAAACGTAATCCTATCACCAATGATAATTAGTTAGGTGTTTACTATACGAAATCATTAGTGTGACGAGGTTTAGCAACTTTAATACGACACTCAGGTCTCCATTTGCCGAGCTAGCTGTAGGAATTAGCCGGCAGGTGCGAAAGTTTTATTAGAACCATGCAGCTTCATGGAAAATGTATACAGTGTCAACATCGCATGATGTATAAGCGAATTGCATTGTTCTTAATGAAGCATTAGTCTTTGTCCTATTATTCTCACATAATGTAAGATTATCAATTCTGAAATAAATAAATTTTCATAGCGTCAGTTTATATTTAGAATGTCTAAATGTAGATTTCTTACACCTGCTTAACTTCATTGGTTAATAAGAACAAAGAATCAAAAATCGCTTACAAGACAAACTATCTTATACTACGATATTTATATCATATACGAAATTTAATGATCATTAAATAAAAGCAGTAATGAGCTCAAGGGACAAACATCCAAAAGGTTTTTTATTGGATTAGAAAAACTTTCGAAAAGTTTCATTAGCTCGACTTCTTACTGCTCTCTCTAATGCAGCGAGCTTAAAGGACTCTCACATTAGCATCGTAGAATTAACGCATCTGGATAAAAACCCACCGTCGAGTAACTACTTTACTTTAAATCGTGAAGAGAAACGAGAAAATGAGCTTGTTGGGAGTTAGCTATTAGCTTACTTAGTCTTAAAAGTTAAAGTAATTAAGGTAATTAAACTTGTCAATGTAAGTGAAAATACATAACAGTCCATGAATATATATTTGACGGCAAAATATATCAAATTGAGTGTAACGAAACTGTTACAACGAAACAGCCAACGTGGGAAAAGCAAAAAGACAAAGATTTCAAGCGAAAGAAAAATAATTACCTTGTGCCTGCTTCAAATACAGAAAAGAACACTTTACGACACATTTCAATAAAATCTAATAACTTTAGCGACACATGTTTGAAAAATAATACCCTGTGTTCGAGTCTAAGAAAATGTGGTCAGAACGGCAACGATCTCAACTAATCAATGAGTGGCCGCTTCAGTTGAAGTTGATCGAGAAACGAGCAAATTAACCCAATTGCATCGTAATTTGTGGACCTGTGCACATAAAATTCCGCATTTCTCATCGAGCCACTATGGGAAGAACCACACAAGTATGCTCAAGTTTACCAGTATGCTCAGCTCATCAGTTAGGTAGTTTACAATAAAAACTATAAAAAACGATGTACCATACGATTCTTTTGTTCACGAATTTTGAATGGAGCAATCCAAGTCCTAATCTCTGTAGAAATTTATGTTAAGAAATATCAAAATTCAAAAATGCCACTTATTACAAAACGCAATCATTGATATAGCAGCATATAGGTCAAGCTTATGATAAAAGTTTGGCTTTTGTCGACTGTACGGACTGCGCGAGTTGGAGCAGTCCGCCCTACCGAAAATCTTGAATCCATCCAACTCTAAGTTGATGGAAGAGCGTTCTCAGAATTGCATCAATTTTGCGCGATTGGCACGACGTATGCAATTACTCAGCCCGAGCAAACTCCGACGAAACTTCTGCAGAGCAGAAAATAAGCAGGAGTTGATTCATCAAATCTGCAAAAGAGTAAATATCTCGGGACCGACGATCCACAAAGGAAGAGAGACAAGACAAACGAGCTCGTAAATCGCGGTCCGTTAGAGGCGCAACTAATTGCACCTGCGCCCACAATATAAGGACGAACCGCTGCTCTGAAACACGTCTTGCGCCTCGGAACCAAAGCTGCTATAGTAACGAGCATCGCGGAAACGAGCATCGGCGCCCGGATTAACATGCACAAGTAACGAGTCTATGCAAGACAAATATAAAGAGGAACAAGGAAAGTTTAATTTGATTGTTGAATATATCAAATACAGCAAGTTCATGTTAATTAGCGATCTGCGTTAGCATAGGTACTCTATATACATTGTGTAACATTGATGGTGTGTTATATTGCTAGAAGAAGCGAGCGAACTCGTGCGAGATAATGAAGCGAGCTTTACACTATACACAAGCCTTAATTAAAAGATGAGATCAGGTGATATTTTCTTTTGCGTACAATACACGTTTCGTCTTTAAAATATTACACAAAATAATGTGCTTTTTATCAAAATAATGCGCGATTCCCACCGTCGGAAGTAGTCTTTAACAAGCTGGTCCAATTCATGACCGTGCGCTGATATTTAATTCGGAATATGCGAATATTTTAATCGTGTGAAAGGTTCCGAATATTTACTTACAATATTTTTTTTAATTAACAGTTAATTATAACAGCCAATTTCTAATTATTTTCTAACGGTTATTTTTAACACTCGATTCCCTCAATTCACACGACAGTAGGAAGAAATGCAATGGGACAAACACGCAGTATATATACATTGTTTGAGCCGTTTTACCGTAGGCCGATAGAAGACGGCTAGAAAAGCCTGCCATGATTCTGTACTAAAGTAAAAGTGCAGAAGCGTCGGCCATGTTGCGGGATTAGCAGCACGTGACAGCGTGAGTCACGACGAGCGGCCACTGGCAAGTCAAGCACGAGCGAGAGATAACAATTTGGGCGAAAAATAGTAACAATATTTCACTGATGAATAATGACAAGTTTGCGACATCGCGCTTCTCTTTTCATTAAAAGACTAAAAACATTCCTTCATAGATTCCCCCGCATATAAATCTTTAATATATGCATAGGTATTAAATGAACCAAAACAATCCAATAACTTTCTAATCACTAACTTAAGCAGAAGTTCTCAAAATTAGGGAACCATCAGAAGTTTGCCGGCGTGAAGACAGGACAGGCAGCCACATGCGACGCTAAGTTCGTCAAGTTCTCCTCTTCGTGTTCAACGCTACGGGAAGCGGCAAGCCCGCATGAACTGTAGTGTTACTGATGAGCCAGGAAATTGAAACTTGAGCTATTTATTATGATCTCATGTACTGTGCTCGGGGCAGCATTGCAAAGCCAATTACAAGTGTTAAATAATCAGACTCATTTAGTCGGCAGTATATTGCATACACAAGGGAGGATAAATGCTTTAATGTAAAAAATGCGTTGGTCGATTTACTTAATAGTATATTTTTGGTCGAGATCATGGAAAAAAACATAAACAACAATAAAGATGACAATCTAACAAATCATAAAAAAAAACAAAATTAATGTTTCCAAGTCCAGTTTTGTTCTGCTTTGATAATGCAATATCAGCTCGAGACGGCAACAGATTTCGGAAAGTATTGACAGCACATATATGAACAGCGTATAGGTACTGCAAAACTGGATAGATATCAGTTTTAATGAATGAAAACATTTGATGTTCAGACAGCAGAGAATGCGGGAGGCGAGCATTGCATCACAGTAGCACTGTCAGGAAGCCATGCGAACGTCGCGACCCACAGGCTCGTGTCACGAACGTCTCGGTGACTGACGTGCGGTAATGACAGCTTCAAGGTTGTGTACTATAAACTGGTTGTGTACCACTACTGTTAAAGAATTCGTATGTTCTACTGCAAGTTCCTTGAAAATATCGGCCACTAAACAAGTTAGTTAATTTTCACTAGGATTATTTCCGCGAGTAGGTTAAAAAGCATGATTTGTTAGCGGAACAGTAGCGCTGCAAATGACCGTGACGAATAACGGTGTGTGTGGAGGATAGAGGGTGGGGTAAAGAATACGTGGGGAGGGGGTGAGAAAAGAGGGGTGAATGAGGGGTGTAATGAACCTGTGGGTGGTAGAGAAGGGTCGTGGGGAGAGCACGGGAACGTGAATACGAAACGAAGATCAACAAAAACTAAAGATACAGTGAGTAACTTTAACTTTGAATGACAGAGCAACAATAGAATAAGGTCGACATTCACTCTTTCTTTATCTGTTTCTATTTCACTCGTACTCGTTTTCTTGTAACGCTAAGTCAAAGCGCTCAGTGAAACAGCAACGTCATGTTGCAGCAATGTCTCGCAGCGGCCACGGCTGGAAGCAGCGAAGTCACGCAGCGGCGCAGCATAAAACACGTAAAAAAGTTCTAACGACAATCTCACACAATCGTATTTAATATAATAACTTAACTGAATGGTCACATACTAAAAGAATTTACGAGTACGTCGTAAAGGTACAAATAATATCTCCAGCAATAATACCAACCTTGGACGTAAAATGCGAACTAAAGACCATCGTAGCCTCAGTTTATGATCATAGTGGGAGTTTTCGCCTCAAGACACATATATAAATTCTGCTCGAGAATCAGTGGAATGTAATTCAAATAACTCGTTTGATAAACATAAGTTTGCAGTTTAATAAAATAATACGCTGTAATTAAATCAGTTGAATGTAATTACAGATTATAATATAGAAGTTTTCGATGGAACTTTAAAACCAATCGACATGCATGACGTTTGGTCTAACAACGAAAACAATAATGTAAATTGGCTTAAAACAATCTGCACAGTAATGTTAAATCCCCTAACTTTGTTGCAGGCAAAATTTGAGCTCATTACTCACCTTCGGGAAGGGCGACATCCGCCATTACGAGTTGAGCTTTGTTGCCTCTTGTTAAGGAAGAAGGAAACGAACTCTCATCTTCAAATATAACCCCTAGTAGTTACTTTAATTCCACATGAAACTTAAAAAATTGAGTCACTGAATCACAGTTTCTTCAAAGCATTGCTCTGCTTCACATTACTGGCCTAAATAACATTTATTGTTCCCTAACACTTTCTTCAAAGCATTGCTCTGCTTCACATTACTGGCCTAAATAACATTTATTGTTCCCTAACACTTTAGCACGGATATTCATACTCGTATTTCAGGTGCTATAATAATCGTCACTGTGCATCACTTCTCCTGTAAAATTTTTCTGCCACGAGACAGAAAAACGTAATGATAAGAAATATTACATCATTGATTGAAAGAGTATGAAACAGGTCACGTTTGATACAGAACAGGCTACTAAAATTGCTTCTATCTATTATATATTAACTTAAATGACGCATGGTGTGCACTTATAGGATAAATTTTAATGATTGTTTATTTATTTATTATTTATAAATTATTATTTACATTATAACACATATTTATACATGTTACATTGGCCCTACAAATACAATGAATACGATCTGAAATTAAGCTTCCAAATTTTTAAGCATGTTACAGAGACAGAGTTTCTTCCGTTAAAAACCAATAAGAATGATGTGGATAAAATGTTCGGGCGCAATTACTTCATAAAAACAGACGACAAAAAAAAATGAAGCTAAACGGTCGCACTAGTTGCAAGCCACTTAAGACGGCCCATAAACACGAATTAAGAGACAGAATAATGCGCAATTAAGAAGAAAATGTTCGACACGAGCGGTGACGATGACAGTGTTAATTATGGCAGTACACGTCATCGCATAGAGCGCGTGATGGGCTGAGCAGACGTGGTGAGGCGTGCGTGTGAAAGCTTGCGTGGCAGACTACGAGAATGTCTGTACTTGCAGACCACGAGGATGTCTGTACTTGCAGACTACGAGGATGTCTGTATAGACCACGAGGATGTCTGCACTTGCAGACCACGAGGATGTCTGTACTTGCAGACCATGAGGATGTCTGTACTTGCGCGAGGGCGTCTTCATTGTAACTCATTAATCCCTGCGTGAGCGCAAAAACGACAGGAGTCTGATTATATTCATATGAATGCATTTTTAAAACCAACATTCGTCTAAGAATAATTTCAATGGATAATTTGAAAATTTTAGTATATTTGTATATTTTAGGTGAAAAGCATTGTGGCGTTAGATTCGCTTATAGTTGATTTCCTAAAGATTAATGTCTGCCTGATAGCTCGTAGTCGTACTGATAGCTTCATCCAGTGCAGGAGATGTAGCGTGTCACTTGAATGGCAAGAAGTTGATATGAATTGGACGATGCAGAATGCAGCTATAGACAACCGAGATGGAACTAATCTAAACTTGGTCAAACTGTCAATATAATGAATCGCTCCATTAACAAATTGAAAATCCAGTGCCACAACGTAGAATTGTCATAAAGCCATTTTAATAAAACTGAATTAATATGTCATTAAACACTATTTGTCTTAAACAGTCAATTATGTAAACAATATAGCGAAGATGTGAGAAGAACCGCCACACGATTTGGTCAAATTATACTCAGCACCGTCCCTTCACTGCCCCACACCCCACCCACAGTTCGAATGACGATCACAATGAAATATATACTTTAATTCACTCAGTGATGAGAGAGGCTTATATTGGGCGGCGGCGCCTCGATACCTTGTAACAATCGCGTCGTTTGTTCAGATATCAATTCATTTTTAGCGCATTTTCTCATTTATGGAAAAATGCACTATTGTGCTCGCCATGTCCGTCTGTCCGTCCGTCTGTCCGTGACCTCAAGTTTTCGTCGACGAGAAAATGCGCTCTCTGGCACTCACTGCACTGAGTACTGAGTTATATTTTTTTTACTCTTCGCGTCGATCGTGGCATGTATGATCTCAAACGGTTATGATTCCACCTAGAGTATTGCATTGCCCTGAATAACACAACATATCGAAAACTAGCATGAATTATATGGCAAAATATAAATTAGGTTGACCGCACCCGTTGGTCATTAGAGCGTGTGTCAGCTAAAATAATGGATTGCGCGGAATAGGTAACACTTCTTATCTTATCGATAACATCATGAATTTTGTGAGAAATCATAAATTACGCTGAAATGTTTGCAACTCAAACAATATGCTCAAACTTATGTTTCAAAATTTGGTTACAATTCTAGCAAATTTCAATCAAATGTTTTATGCAATACACATGAGTGACCTGATATGGTAAACTTATTGCTTCATACTTCAATGATTTGATGTAAATCATACTATTTTTATTAATTCGACCGTCAATTTTGAAGTAAACGCACTGAGTTAAGCCAAATCGTTGATGTATAATTAAATGTGCTGCAAACGATGTTTAAAAGAACAAACTAGTACCAAATAACGAGGTTAGAGCTGATATTACAGGCTCATTAAATGAGGTCACTGAAGCGCTCAATAATATCACGCTAATTACAACACACGACCGTTCCGTACAATTTACAATACTTTTCATAATAAGATAATCGAAGCATGTGTGCAAACTTTCCATCAGTCCTACACACAATTTGTTACGAAAGATGGGTTGCCATGGCCCCATTGTTGTCACATGTTGCGTGGGAGCGAGCTTCACTATCAAATGTCATGGTTAGCAGCCTATTTGCCAGCACACCTACCACTCCGGAATCTCTCACCCTACTGATCGCATGTGCACGTCTGCACGAAATTAGCCGACAACAGAGCTGCCAGACGCGCGAAGACACACTACTTATTGTAATCCATACACGTTTACTTTACAGAAAGCAATGTTTCATAACAGCAAAACTCCTAGAAGCTAGTAAAATTAATATATAGAGAAGGATTTAGTAATTCGTTTGCATATAAGCGCCGGAAAAACGGCTACTCACGCTGCCAGTCGAGCATGATGGGACACGTAAGCAAGCTTCGCTGCCTGCAGTTCGCGCTCACGTCATGGCAAATTTGTGAACTTGCCGCATGATATTTTCAAGAATTTTAAAATTTTGCTTTTTCCATTATCTCCTTAATTCGAAATTTTCTCCGAGCATCGTGCAGTTTAAATACGTCATTAATATATAAATACATATTTCTTTGAATTAGTATTTAAAATGATAAGTCATAGTCATAGGCAAACAAATTAAGCTCAACAGAAGCATAAATGTTTCTCTTTAAACGAATGAGAAGTGCAGCGGCCATATCGTGTACGTATACATTTATAGTCGAATAATGACCTTACAAATACAAGTCTGTAGTGATAATATACATCAAGATAATTGGTGGCATTTTTCCATTTATATTGAACAACCGTACCTTCCCACTAACCTCTCCTCGAATCAACAATTGATCGTTGTCTCTGATTCGAAGTTGATGAGTAATTATTTCTGTATTTTTACTTTATTTCGTCTAGATTTTTAAATTTATTCTCCGTTTCGCCCATTCCTTCTTAATTAAGAAGGCGTAACTTCATCAGCTAATTATTTCGTAGTTACGCTAACTAGATTCACTGATAATCATATGCCGCGGTCGGAAATGGTTAAGGAATGACGACGCGCTTAAGGGACCGAGACAGAGACGGGACCGAGGCAACGGTTGGGCCAAAACTAATACGGGACTGATACTACGGCGGAACTCCGATAGGGAAGGGACCTACCGTAGGCAGGGACTGGACCGAGGCAACGGTTGGGCCTAAACTAATACGGGACTGATACTACGGCGGAACTGCGTTAGGGACGGGACCTACCGTAGGCAGGGACGGGACCGAGGCAACGGTTGGGCCAAAACTAATACGTTGGCGGGACCACAAGCACTGCAGCCAACAGCTCTGGCCGAGATAAACACCTGCAGACTGTAGGCGACATTGAACTGTTAACCCATTAACGCCGATAATTCCCTGGAGAGCATTAAAACTTTTTTTTCAATTCGATGGATTCATTTAGGTATCTCTTAACGAATTTTTAAGAAAAAATATCTAACTTTCTTATTATTACTCGAAATACAGACCGGCAGGGATACTGGCCAGTGGCCACCTCGCTATAAAAACTTGAATGGCAAAAGAATGAGTACAGGTAGAATAAAGTGAAATCTAAAGTACTTGAAGGGATTAGCCAATTAAATCTCTGCCCTTGTCGTCCATTGCAAGTTTTAGTTGAAAACTTTTCACATGGAAGGTTTTCAACTAAAACTTGCAATGGACGACAAAGGCAGAGATTTAATTGGCTAATCCCTTCAAGTACTTTAGATTTACACGCTGCAAAAAATCAATGGTACAGACTACAGAACGCCACATTCACGGCATCTGTAGTACGGAAACTTACCTGTTATATGTTTGATGCTGACTGCCGTACCAAGGTATTCACAACAGACATTCGAACTCGACCTGTGTTGGCCAAAACTGCTCCTCCTCAGCAATTTCCAGTGGTTTGGCTTCAAATAACTATTTCTTGATGCATCGCTAAAATCCGGCACTAGATTTTCTGTCTTGTTTTATCTAATGGCCACCTGCCAACCACCTTTTTTAGTCTTTGATTCGAGGCAAGTTAATGTTGAGGTTCAATTTTGTTGAGGTTAAATTAAAATTTTTAGTTGATCGTCATCTACAGAATCATTCAGAAAATTGTTGAGCAAATTTTCGTTGGAAGGGGCTCTGGATTGCTCGTAACTTCAGGATGTATAACTGCTATGATTTGTTGCAGCTTCAGGAGTTTCTATTCTTTTATTTATCTATTCGATTGGCAAATACACTACTAACCAGTAGCCACTTATATATGTGTCCCAATATATAGTGCATGGTCTTATGATATTAGAAACACAAAAGTGCATGCATATATCATGAGAACATTTGTTCAGGAATACTATTCAGTAGTTAGGTGTGGCCAGCAGAAACAAGGGGTAATCTACGTTGTGTCCTGACTTGATAGCGTCATTACTCACAGCAGAAAATTCCAACTTTCCAAGGCCAACTAAGCAGCAGGTATGAACTATGCAGCTCAGCACAACACTGTGAATCGTTCAAAACATGTTCAGTACTCGTCTTATTCCGCCAGACTCCATTTCAAACCATAACATTCGTAGTTTTGGAAAAATTTCATATCGATCTCATATGGCAAGTATACTGGCCAAGCGACGTTATTAAGTTAAAAATGTCTCTTCTCGAACGTTAGAATTGCGTCCACTACAAGCCAAACTGAATCTTGTAACGGAAGAAGATGAGCATGCTCGTTTGATACAGGTATAATTTTTATTTGATTTACTGTGACTTATAAAAGTTTAAAAGATGGTATAGAGTCAAACTCGGCTATTAAAAAGGTGCTCAGATAAAGCAATTTTTCATTTTTTGAAACTGGTACCTTTCTGATTGATATACAAAATGATTGTTTCATCATCTTGGCTGTAAAGAGAAATGGAGAAGTCAACCGCATTTGCTGTAGTCTCGTTTTCTTTAATTATTTAAGGAACAGAAAATTCCTAAATCTCTCGCTCATATCGGCAAGCATTATCTTATCAATTTCCTTGCTATTAAATTTTTTATCCATCGATAAATAAAGTGTCCATCATCTGCAGACGTTTGTCTCACTTTTAATATTTTCCAAACAGATCAAATATTTCTCTACTCTCGTAAAAGCCAGTTGTGAAAATTCAGTCCCAGCTTTTCATTCGATTTATTTGCCATTTATAGCATGCAGTTGTCGAATTTTTCTAGGATATTTCGTGTTATTCTCGCGTTATTCACGAGACTTATTCACCGACTTCTCTAATTTATATCTGTCGTCGCCTTGAGAGATAAGAAAGCATCTTCTGTTGTAAAGACGCTGGCTGAACAGATTCTTTCCAATCGTTTTCGATTGCCTTGAAAATTTTCCAGTGACAATAATCCGGTATTTTTAGCTGTGATTTCTTCCACAAAATATTGACCATAATATTCAACTATTTTATTGTATATTCGGTAACAGCATCGTAGGACACGGACGCAGGAGTATCGCATAATGGTGAGATGTGTTGAGACGCAAGAAGTCATGGACTGGCAGACAATATGGAGGAATTTAAAAATTAAAGAAAAAAACAGATATGTTAGTATTTTAACATTGAATTATTCTCTTTACAGCGAAATCACGAATTGTCTCTAGAAAAGAATGCCTTAATTGTAATTTTGGGAGAAAGACTGAGAATGATAAAATATTGACCGAAAAAAATGTAGGCTATACGTCGTTAGGTGATGACGAGATAAAAAAATTATCATTTAAGTGTCTCTTCAATTGTTACCAAGAATTTGTAGAATCATGGTCGACGATGCTTCTGGAATAATATGGATGGGTAAATTGACTCACGACGGAGAACGGAATTATGTTTTGACCGATATTCAATACCATTTTATTTACCACTAACTTCTGTTTTTATTTATTACCACTAACTTGTTTATTATTTACCACTAACTTGGTCTAATAATAATAATAATAATGATAATATAAAACGACTAAAGTACGGAACTCATTCGACTGACTTGAAAAGGTTTGAAGCCACTCATGGAAAAGTATCGCTTGTATATGAAGAAGACTCTGATGTTATTACTAAACTTCATACAATAATATTCATAATTCGTACAATAGATAGAGACTGTACATGGACTTGAAAGGCAAGGAATTGGATGCGTGTTAATTTTTGAGTTTAAGTTTTTAATTTATGGCGAGTTATATTTTAATTGTGTTTAATTTATAACAGAATTTAAAAATATATGTTTGAATGACATCGTTTTCTGTTAATATTTACTTGATACTTCTGGTGTTTCATATATCATAATCATCTACAAATGATTTTCGACTAGTTGCAAACTGACGATGTTAATAAACTTGCTCAGTACACTGCACGGAACTATTGTTGTTATAGTATATACATTGATATCGCACAATAGGACTTTATGGGGTGAAAATATTTTTCTTGGCTCTGAAAGGCACAGATTCAAATTTGCGTTGTAATAAATAAAGGGAGTGGAGTCTCTGGAACTGGATTTACCAATAATATATCTATATTTTCTCCAATTAACAGCCTTCTATGCTAAAATTTATTCACTTTAACTGCGAAAAAATAAAGATGCCCAATTTTTTTACAAGTCCACAGACGTTGTCACCGTGTGACAACCTTATCTCACGCCCCGCGTTACAGTTATCAGCTAACGGGTCCTCGATCATCTTCCAAGTACAGAAGCTACACAAGTGAAAGTATCTGAAAACTCATTTCCGCGGTCGATCGTGTTTGGACGGGATCTGTTTTTTGGATATCGTTTTTGGACGATTTTGTATCTGGTCTGTATTAGCTGCTGAAACGTTTAACGATACTTAAAATCCATGAATGAAAGAATTTACTCAAGATGAAATAATTATTTAAAGGAAAATCAGTACGAACAAATATAGAGAGTGTATAATTCGTATCATTATTCAAAAATCAACAGATCGGAAGAACAAACCATAACATTCCTCACATTTTCTCAGTTATGTCAATACATTCTACAGTTTTAGTTACAATTTCTGAATAAATTACCGAATTAATGAAGCTCGAAAACTTTGATATTGATTAAAATTCACAATTTGATTGTTTTTTGCTCACTATACTGCTTCTTATCCGGCAGAACTTGCACTATAGGTTGGTACATATTTCAAGTACAAATTATAAGTTTATTATAAAACGATTTTTCCGATTAGGCTCAGTTTAGTCTAGTTTTGCAAGCAAAGTACGTATTCTTGGGAAAATTTATTGTTCAAGGGAGAACACTTGAACAAGATCAACTACCGCACATTTAAAATTTTGCATAATACTTCCAACCTTTCAACATCATAAAATTTTAACATATTGGACCTAACAAGGATTTCTGTATTTCGGTATGAAATCCTGATTATATGAATTGTATGTCATGTCCGTGCTACTTTTCATGCTTGGCGTGAGCAGCTTATTGAAATAAACACGCTTCATGAATGGCTAACGTTCATCCCGTGCAAACCTGGAGAACATAATTGATGGTGCTTTTATTCTGCCTTCGTCCGTATTAGCCGCGTCGTCCGGCTCGCCTGCTACCAACTCTAACACGGCCATCAGTAAAAAGCCTAAAATGAGTGTAAGCATGCGAATAAATCTTCCTTCGTTTTTGCATCGCTCCCTCTCAAGGATTTCACAGAATATCACGTACATGATGGTACCCCCAGACATGCCTTGCAGTACCATGATACTGATTTGTCCAGCGGCTGAATCTGATGCCGAGTATGCATACACGATCGCTCCGATCATGCCACCAACAGGTGAAGCCACTGAAAAAATGACGATGTATATGACATAGTGCAAGGTTTTGATCTCCTTTTCTAGCAACTCCATGCCAATGCTGAAGGCAATAGCAATCTTGTGAGTCATGAGTGCGCCAAACATAAGCCACACTCCTTGGTTAGTCGCTTCCACTCCCAGAGAGAAGCCTTCGAGGCATCCGTGTACAGACAGCGCCATGATGACAAATATTGACCTCATCAGGTTGAGCGCATAATTCTTGCGGTTTTCGGTGTCCTCTACCATGAAGTCAGCTGCTACCACGCACGTACTGGTTCGCGGACGGGGCCCTTGGTTCGAGCAGGGATCGGGACAAACGTGCCCGTGGTCAGGGACGATAACAGCGTCCTCTCCGTCCACGCTCTGTGACATAGAGTACGTATGGCGTCTGCCACTACAGGGGCTGGGTTGCTGCAGTTCATGGCGGTCGGAATGCGAGGTAGACTCGGCTTGAACGGCACCGCTGCCCCGGGCGTCACCAGAAGATGCACAGGTGCTTTGGTTGTCGTAGACTCTGAGATGATGTTCATGGCTGTGGCCAGAATGTCCTGTCGAATGCTTGTGAACATACGCGTGAACGATCTCTTCAACGATGTACATGAAGAAGAAACCACAGCAAAATATAAACTCGCCCAGGCCGAAACTGGTAGTTGGCACGTAATCATTTGACTGCGCCGTTTCGACGTTTTCTAGAGCTTCAGGCAGGATATGGAGGAAGGTAGTACCAAACAAAACGCCGGCGCCGAAGCAGAGGAACGCACTTAATATGGTGCGCGATCTTTCGATAGATCCTGGGACTGTCAATAGGAGTTTCCGTACCTTTATGGGAAGCAGCCCCACAACGATGGTGATGAAAAACATAATAGTTAACGCCAATGATTTCGTAGCTAAAAGATCCATTTCTGCAGGAGGATGAGCAGGAAGGTCGATCGATGCAACTTTCAGTTTACAATAATCCCGGAAGACACAACTCGGATCTGCAACACAGAAGGGTTGTTACGATGAGTCCAGTTCGCACCTGTTAAATAAATTTGGACCCTCTGGTCCATGTTCCTCAATCATCAACCAACTGTAATTACAATAAACTTGACTTACTGCATTTTCAGACAATTTTTCTTTCGTGTAAACTACGAGACCAAGTGGAAAAATGAGCATTTCTCAACCGCCATTTACTTTCCCGTGCGCGTAAGTATCCATTCTACCGTATTTTTCGTACTATAATGGAAGCCGGTGTAGTGACATCTGCCATCGCGTTACTGGTGTCATTCTTAAACCACATTCAGCTCACCAAGCTAATAGTCAGACATATCTTTGCGAAAAAAACGATAAGTCCATGAAAATGGGATTTTCACACCAACAGAATCAGCGTTTGTTTACGTCTAGAGGCCTGAAGGATGTCGTGGGGTTGGTAACCTTCTGTTTCATGTTATGAGCTAACAAATAAAACAGCTAGTAATTCTATTTTTATGAATTCGTTGAATCTAGATTGCCGAAGTAAAGCCCCTTTTGACAGAGTATTGCCTAGAAAATAGTTTAGACATGAAATTAAATATATCTTTTATTTTAAAGACGTATTTACTACACAAATTTGTTCTGCGAATATCTATAATCCGTTATAAAAAATGCATATTTATTAAAAATAACGAGCGAAAATCGATTCTATGCAGAACAATATTTACAAAATTTTTATGGTAAGAAATAATAGCTTAGCCGGAAATTAATCAATATATATCGAATTTAGCAGTTATCAAGAGAATAAAAATAAATCGAAAATAACATACGTCCTAAAAATTTCCGTTTCCAAACAAGTAAAAATCTTATCAGAACAAAGTGCAACCAGCCGTTAATCTAGGAGTGCACGCATATTTATCACGCATGTCATGATTTACAATAAGGTTGCCGTTAATCAGACCGAATATTTATATAATAGTTAGAAATAGTTCCTAGCTCCACCCTGCCACTCACCCGCCCCAGACGCACGCCACCTCACGACTGTAGCGACATAGCAGCACATCTGCTGCTCGGTGGGATGATAGATACGTTATCTTTCCGGCGCAGATATCTCCGAGATTCGGAGCGTCTCTCTCTAATTTCATAATGCTTCAGATAATTCCTATTTAAATAGAATGTTTAACGTATTTCCTAAAACTTTGATTACTTCTATTTAATTAGTGTCCGTCTCATTTTCTAGTACTTTAGGTAACTCTAATTTAAATGGAGCTTACTTCTCATTACATAATGTTTTTCATACCTACAACTCGGTCACGATTTAAAAACGTGATCGACTGTTAGATTAAACAAGCTTTTTCTGGATTGCTTTCTATTTATTTGCTTGATTGAATGCTGAATAACGTAAGAAATAAAATGATAAAATTTTTGTGTGACGAGCAAAATATTGTCGTACCCTGGTACCCATCGCATATTTTGTTATCTATGGAACTACTTTTAGTGAAGATAATAGGAATAGGCTGACATTATATGACTAGTATCATGAATTAATTAGAACGAAGATAATAATTTCAGAGCGCTGTACTCTCGAAAAGATAACACTTATCCACCACAAAAATTTTCGCCCGAGGGAGTCCTGCCTATGTCATGTCAGAAATTTGTTAGCATATGCCTCGTCTTACAGACGCCATGGAGTGATGTCCTGTAGGCTCTTAATGAACGTTGCCGTCAATATTTGATTAAAAATTATTTGATTAATGGTACCTCTTCACTGATTAATTGTTAACGTCCTTGTGCTGCCATCATTGCATCATTGTTAACGTCCTAGCGCTGCCATCATTGCATCATTGTTAACGTCCTTGTGCTGCCATCATTGCATAATTGTTAACGTCCTTGTGCTGCCATCATTGCATCATTGTTAACGTCCTTGTGCTGCCATCATTGCATCGTTGCTAACGTCCTTGTGCTGCCTGTTATAGCTTCTTTGTTAACATATTCGCTCTGCCCGTTAGTAGAGTTGACTATGAAACCTTAAAACCCTTCTGATTATTTCAGTTTTTCATTCTCTATTTCTGACACGCAGACCAATATTTCGGCTTCTCCCTATACCTCCTCATGCTTCTAGTAACAATCATTTACCCTCACTCTCTGGTTTGTCCTCAAACTACTTACTTTTTTCACCCTCGAATTGTAACCTTTTTTCCATTCCAAGATTTTCACGCAGTTTTTTCCGTCAAAACAAAACCTACTGATTCCCATATATGTTCATATAATGATCCATTGTCCAATACTGTCTATGTTGAAATTCTTTGTCCAATATTTTTCAGTAATCTGTACAATTTTTGGAAAGACATACAATCTTCCACATTAATAAATATACAATATTTCAAACATTATATATTTCCAGCTATTCGATACATTAATTGGCGCCATATTTCCCATTATACCTATGCAGATTTAAATCTGTCTACGGCAGACATATTATTGCATGAATCTCAATGTTGCAAATGGCTTATTTAATACTATATTCGGGGACGACAAGGAACAAGGCTTTACCAAGTGTAATGAACCTAAAAGTCTTGTAGGTCTCAAACAAAGGTTGGCTAGAATGTAGCTTTATTTAACTAAATTATCACCTGAAAAGAGAAGACATACAAAAATTAATACCAGCAAAAAATAACACAATACACTGAAATTTATAGACAAATTTCACATCACCAAGCACATTAGAAGTCACGATTCATACGTACTTACAAGCACTTTTTTGAACATTGCTCGAACAGGAAAAGAAGCAAACGTTATAGAGTAATTAATTTGTTTCCAAACTATAATGGCTTACCTTAGAACGAGTGCGCCAGACCGGCCAGGGCAAAATCAGGAATAATATAACAGATGACAGGTTAGGAGGTCCAGTGTCATCTGAATAAGGCGTTTTAAAGTTACAGTAAACAGAATGAAATAGTAGGTCATCAGAAGATCGTGAATTTTATTTCTAGAAGAAATAACTTTACGTTTATGAAAAAGTCTATATTATCAAACCCATATTTTCCAGGGTACAATCCTCTTTCCTTGTCCAATCCACTAACTTTACTAAATCGAGAAAAAGGAAGTCATTCTATGCGTTCGACCAACACTGCCAATCTCATTTCGATAAAAATTAATACAAAAGGTACGCTTCCCTTCAATAGCCAATGGTGTCTCCAAGTCACTGAATAACTCCACTACACTCAAGACATCAAATCGAGCGCCAAGCTTCTAAACGCCGCTTATTATTAGCAAATAATCCAGTTAATTAAGTAGGATTTCCAGGCCATGTACGCTCACGTCTACTTTAGACGCCCATTGAAATCACAAGGATACATTCAATGAGGAGGAAAACAGGAGTTAGGCTTCTGCCAGTGAGACCAAATCTCTTCACCGTGGTGTTCTAATCTCACTTTCACTCAGCTTTTCAACAACGTTTTCTTCGTCGACCTTTGTGCTACCTAACATCACTCAATACGCGACGCATAATGAGTCTGACAGCGCCTTTTTGCTGTATTTCAATGATAGCATACAATTGCTATACATTAATAAGATACTATGATCACAAAGTTTTCCGGTTCGATGGAAATAAAATGTGTGCATATTCCACAAATGCTCGGTATATGTTATTTACCAGTGGTATATAGTTGAGAGAACGCGCAGTAGCTTGTGCATCGTCATCCCTTCGCAGGCGCTCATTTTGTTCTAAGGTCAGATTGAAACGTCAAGATATTTTGAAAAACCTTGGATCTAAAGAACATTAAATCAAGTTGAAACTATCGAACCCACATTCGTCTCGGAGATAGCTATATTATACTAAAAAATCACCTCACCGATCAATTCATTGGAGAATATGCGAGTTTGAAAAAAAAATGTTCAGTTTAATGCGCGATTATGCGAATACCAAAGTGGCGGGCCATAAGGTCATGTCTTTCGAACTAGTGCGTATAATATTTTCTTTCGTGATTTGATTCAATCACGTCTCAAGTTCAAGATAATTTGAAAGAATGCGTGACTGGTATTTGTCGTTGTACATGTGTACGTGTCAGAAACACTGGCTACGATTGTATGTATTTGTAGACGCTGTAAGTTAGTATTGCAGATTTTGGGGCTAAGAGCTGAAGCAAGTAAGAGCAGCTCATGATATTTACAAATATTTATATTTAGCATAAGGATACATTCTGCTTTACCTCTTAAGCGAACACATGAGACTCGACATACGCTCTTGTTTGCTTTAGTCAGTACGTCATTTAAATTCATTGAAACATTATCATGCTTGTTGCCAAAACTGGAAAAAATTGTGAAGAATTAAATTAAAATTTAGCTTTGCTTTGTGAAATTTCCCGATAATTTACCAATTTCCTCTTTTTCATCGAATATCGTCATTTTGTAGCGTTGACATTCTGGAAATATGTGACGTATTTTCCGAGGTTTAAATTTTTATTCAGTCCATTCTGCACGCATAATTTTCCTAAGTTCATTAGACATGCTTGCTCCGAGTGGACTTGTACATGAGACCATCATCTTATCTTTGAGTGCTAGCTTTATCATATCAGTAAGACTTTGTTCACGTGGTAACATGATGAGATATTGTGACCAGCAACTGCGAGCAATTCTAATGTGATATTTATGATATATTCGTGTATTTAATTGCAAAGCTTTCATCGCGAGTTTCTTAAACTGATATTAACCCTAATTCCCTGAATTTATCGGATTAATATCAAGAAATCGCATCGGAATGATAAGTAGACGTGAAGACGACATCTGTCGTCGTGTTGTAAAAAGAACCTATATAGCAAGTCAAGTCGCTTAGCTTATTATTCGATTGCTAAGCTTGCTGATAAGGAGGCACGCAGTACTATCATGTGCTCGAGCTATTATCACAAGAATATCGAAGCAAAAGTTCTAAAAAATAATAACATTGCAAATTTACCGTATAATAAGCTAGTGATGAGATACGTTTTAAGAGCCCATGGCCACCTACCGAGATAATTTTTTCATTTCTGACAGTCTGCCTAACGAATTTCCGCTAATATTAGCTAAAACATGAAGAGAATTCAAACGTTAAATTGTTCGTTAGTTACGTCGAACTTCTCCTCCTGCCGAATTTCTTTTAATTTACCCGATATAATTTCCGGATAATTTTTTAAAAGCAAAGTCAGACGATTCAAAAAATTTTGTTCCAATAAATAATATATTTACCGAAACTGTATAAATGCCCATGATAAAATACACATTTTCTTAATAATACATAATACATAGGTCAGATATATTATATGAATTAGAGGTCAGACGATGGGAGGTGACAGCGACGGGTGTTTGGAAGGGACGGTGTGGCCGCCGCAGTCCAGAGTCCCCCAGGTCTCCGGTCCGTGGATGATAGCGACGATCCTGGTGAGGGACGTGTAGGTCCCTGTGGCGAAGCCCATCACGCCCAAAGTCATGATCAGCACCGCCTACAGGAATATAAAGTAAATCATTGAAGACATTGACGATCGTTGATAAAAACTTCATGTTTTGATGATAAATAATTCTGAATACAGAGAAAATGGTCGATACCAGATGTATTATCATAATGACATTCAAGTATGTTTGACGACTGTAATTCCTGCAAAAAAAAATTCATAAGTTCAAAAAGCAAGCACTTTCGCGTTCAATCGAGATAGACACGTAATAAGCGACACTGTCATCGCTTCATACATGATTGAGACAAAGAAAGGTACCCAAAATATTTTTCATTTGAAAATTACTCTCGGTTCTAAAAGTTATAATCAACCGTTGTGTTCAAAGTTCATTCGCCTTCAATGGCCCAGGTTCTGCTAATGTTCAACTCATTTGGATATTTCATTCTTCAAACATACCCAATCCGGCATAGTAAGATCAACAATTAAGCACACCAATATATATTTTTGTAATGAATGTCTAACAGTAATTAAAATCCAGTTTTGAAAAAGAGTTGCCGGAAACTCACTTTTAAGATGACGAGTTTGCCTCTCCAGTTTTTGGCAGGGGTGAAAGTGAGGATGTGGATCAGGGGTGGGAATACGAAGGACAGCGCCGAGCTGCTGACGGCGCCCACGAAGGAGATGAAGATCGAGATGTTCGGGATGCCGGCGCATAAAGAAACTGACCATCATGTGTAGTTTTAGCTTCAGGAATACATGAGCAAAATGTTGCATTTGGTTCAAGGTAAGAAGAAGATGCGCCAGTTTTTCAGAGGCTTCAAGAAAGTGGCCTCAGTGTGAACAAAATTTACGAACAAAATCAGTTCCCCTGCATGCAAGACAGGAACAAATGATGGGTGAAACGATCATCCTATAGAGTAGAAAATGTTAATAGTTCAATAGCTCTTCCAGGTTTTGTGTAATTTATGTATTGCTTGATGCATAAAATCCAAAGGAAAATACATTTACATAATTAAATTTTAGAACCTTACTCAGACTTTGGGAGTTCAAAATTACTTTAGAATACCCTTGAATATGAAGACAGTTCAACCAATTTAGAACCACTGCACCCACGCTCGGCTCACAAATAGTATAGTGTAATGAGAATATCGCCACAAAAGTAATCCTGTACTCACATATGGAGAAGACGAGCACGACGCGGATGAAACACTCTTTGAAGGCAACGCTTCTCTCTGAGTCCAAGTCGGTGATGACGAAGGGTAAGAGCACGTGTACGGGCACGTAAAGTTGCAGGGGGAAGCTCAGCAGCACAGCGAATGTCAAGCAAAAAATAACCATCCGCGCTAGTCTGTTGATATTTTTTATTATAAAAGTGCAAACTGGGCGCACAGGAGTAGTACAGCGAGCGCATTTCAGCCTGCAGTGGTATACGTTGTTACAAAACGTCATGACCACACACTTTGAGCGCCTTTGTTTAATTTATTCAAGTTAGTCTACTCCAAAAATTCATTTGCTTTTATAACTATTTTTTTAACTGCATCATCGAAAAATCGAGTGGGAACCGCTGGAAAATGAAAATTCTCTAATTATAAAATATAATTTAGGTAATCTCGTAGAGATAATTGCACACAACCTGTAACCACGATTTTTCTCCAGTTTCAACATGGTACGCACCCGCTGGACATGGGGAGGTTGAGCGTGATGCTGCCGGCTGTCTTGGCTCCAAACGCCAAGTATCCGTAGAAGGCGAGCGCAAAAAATACGATGGCAATCAAAGACATGCCAATGTTCAGGATGCCAGTGGCACCGCCCAAATTTTCCGGGTTTTTCATTTTATTCTCGAGCAAAATTACCTGCCCGATAAATTCAGGTCTTAAGTAATACATATTAGTGAGCGCATATTTTTCAGCAAAGGTATGGGCTAATTTGACACCAGTTAAAGCCTTATTATGACTTAGTTCCAATAGTTGTTCAAGACAATTAATAGTTATGAACTAAATAGATTCAAACACGTCAAGAAGCCAAAAGATGTGTAAAGTAAATCACCATTTTCATGAGGAAAACCTTAACTTAAAATTAGATTAAATAATAAATTTAAACACTCATTGAAGGACCTACCAAACCGATGCCTTCGAAAGAGAAGAAAGTGATGCCAAAAAATAATGGAATTTCATCCCATTTCCCGATCGCGGGTAGACTGGAATATTTGCTGCTGCTGATGTCAGGTGCAGTGCAGTAGTACAGTATCACTCCTATACTGATAAGCTGAGTGATGGCTGACACTAGGGAAATGTATGATATTGTCTGAAAGGAAAAGTGAACTTGAAACTTCTGCATTTTGAATTCTGAGATTTTTAAAGGTAACGTGGATATGATGAGACTCAAGTCTTTGGAACGATGTGAATGTTTATTTAATTTTTTAACCTTCCGCCATACTTCGGTTCAGATAGAGATTCTTGCTAAATATCAAGTTGAAAATATTTTTAAAAAGTAAAAATTTAGGGCACAAATAGGGTAATTATTCTAATGTATAGATAATTTATGAATCACTAAACACGTGTGGGCAGAGTAAATCCAAGGTTTGGCTTAGTAATCATGTAATTAATCAAATAAAAAGTTTCCGGATTTCTGACTCCCCGAATATGACACGAAGAGAGGATAGTGTCGTAAAGCAAGAATGTGTTGACGGTAATGCTTCTGGAATCGCGCAGATTATTAGGAGCACTTTTTCATCATTAGTTAGAATAGGACTGATCGTTACTGGATTTCGACTATAAGGTACTTATTTAATTCCGCCGGGCGAATTAATAAAGCTTTTGGTGTTGCAATCACTGTTAGAACAATTTGAACATAATTCCCTAGAATTACACTGACCTTTATGCGAATTTATATTACTTCATTCTGACGGATTGAATTACCTTCAAGTCCTTTATGAAGGAAACGACCAGCATCGGTAATATGACAATAGCGCTGTATCCAAGATACGTGACGCGTGTTCCTCCCATCTGGCACTCTACGAACTGTAACACACATAAATCGTGTGATAGAAGTAAAAAAAAAATCGTTTATAAAATTTGCGAACTGACCATTAATTTTATAAATGAAGATTCGTCTCCATTTACACAGTGAAATTAAACTTATCAATATGGGCACCATATACCTATAAATTTCAGCGTTCACTACATATTCAAAATAAAATAATGCAATGTTTACCAAAATAGGAACTTATAGGTTACCTGAAATAGGTTAGAAACGACGAATTGGTAGAATGCGCAACATAACCCGAGTTGCATCGTTACCAAAAAGAATCTTACGGTGAAACTAAACGAGGAGGCCATCTTCTGCGCTACCGGAGTGCTCCCAAGGAATGCCACCTGAGCAGTTTCTTCGTAGTTCAGAGTACCTAATTTGTGACGCCGACTCAACTCACGACTGCTTTGCAACTGCATCAAAAAATTAGATTCTGTTCAAAGACAATCAGTAGATCGATATCATATTACGTCTTGAAATCATTAAAGATACATTAAATTGCAAGTCATTTAGCGAACAGCCAAGATCATAATATTCTCGGTACTGACCTCTTTCTCTAACCTACAAATTTAGAACCATTAACATTTGGAGCCGTAGAGACAGACTTCGCAAATTCATTTATGGCATCACTGATATCAAAATCAACCAACAAGCAAGTGCAAGCAGTGGATTCATTCATTTATGGCATCACTGAAATCAAAATCAACCAACAAGCAGGTGCAAGCAGTGGACGGTAGCGATGACGATGATGGGGAATACGGCAGATCCAAACCATAGGCCGGCGTACTGGAAGGCGTGAGGAAGAGATAGGTAGCCGACACCCAGGTAGCTTTTGAATAGGTTGATGAACGTACTGAAATCCCTGAGAGGAATAGCACCAAAGTAAAATAAACATCTTATACATAACTGAAATTTTGAGCTCCGTGATTAATTTGTGAATATTTGTTTTCTTTGGAGTATCAACGTTTTATGAAAAACTAAACTGCTCAACGCCATCATTAGCACCCATTTAAACGGAAGAAAAATATCGGCCTTCATCAGTGCATTAAAACTTTGTAAACTACTGCTTAGATATACTTTTTTGCTCGATATTTTACAAATTAAATCTCAACGTACGAAGTCAGCGGCTCGGGGTCTTCGGGTGGAGTTTTTGCTGATGACGCCGCTGCCACTTTCTCAGGAATGGATAAGTCATGCTCGTCGTCCTTCATTGGTTAAATGAATGTTTGAATTTACTCAACAAAACTTGACGCGTGAATTACTTTTGCTCGTGTTCCGTGGACATTTTGAAACGAAAAGATATATGGGCAAAGTTATCTTTTTTACAATAGGTCAAGACTTAAAGTTTTCAGAAGAAACGAATTTGCAGTTGCGGTTTTTTCGGAGTAAAGTGGCACAAATAATAGCTCAATGTTAGTTGGGTTTTTAAGTAATTTCAAGAATATGAGGCTGTATTCCAAAAAAATTTTGAAACGATGAAACGTAAGTAATACGATGTTCGTCTTGACTACGGTGTTCCGACTCTCAGGTGAAATTCACGAGGGTTTTACAGCGGAAGAATGGACGATATTATTATTCAAGGTATTGATTCATAACTGTAAACTAATACTTAATAATTATTTTACTCGAGTTGCAATGGACGCATTTAAAGTAAATGTAGCTGGCAGGACAACAAAGTATCACCGTAAGCTCGAGAGAGGAGATAGAGATGGAGCCGTATGTGCGGCGACGCCTTGACGCTGCCGTGGTGGACATCGTGGCTCCCAGTGACGGAGGCCCGCTCGAAGAACCGCTCTGTAGACACCATGGTGTGTGCAATGAAATTTATGCGTCATCTATGGTGTAGTCAAGATCATGAAATGCATCATGCGAGTGTACACCTTGTAGATGCGACAACCAGTGACTTACTCTACTGTCATCTTGTATACGGTCATAGGCTTTATGCACGGGTGAATTAACTAAAACTTGATTAAGAACATCAAAAATAAGGTGTAGAGAATGTACGGCTTACATAGTTTGAGTTGAAATTTTTTACGTCCCTGGCCATAAACACAGTACATACATTTCCAGGCTCAGCCGGTTGATAGTTGAACGAGTAATTGAGAAATCCTATTTTATGAGAAATTTGGTTTATAAGATTTAATTAAAGAGGACTGAAACGCATCTCAATGGAGGCGCAGTCAATAGCTCAAGCATTCAAAGTTGGGAGTTGGGTAGATGCTCATATCGCGTAAGTATCAAGCTCATTTTTGGCTTACCGGTGGCTTTGTTGTTAGTCCGTCAGCTCTCAACGTCATTTCCATAGTGAATTTTGTACTGGACACTGGACAGGCAAAAGTTTATGAATGACCGATAATTGTCTATAATTTACATCACGGTTCCCATTCTCACGTCTTTTCAAAAATTCTACACTGCAAATGATTGAGAATTTTCAGAATCTGCAAATGATTAGAGATCTGGAATGGAATGCTATTCTTGTCAAATCGAAAAACTCGTAGAATTATTCGAGGTCGAACTATGTTAACGCGAGAACTTATGAGGAATTCGCAAGAGCAGTCTTAATATTGCTAGACGTTGGTTATTGCATTACTCGTTATTGCAATTGCAATTCTTTCTGTGAATGTTGGTTTCAGTTTTCTCCTATTCGCACTAAAGTTTGTCAAAAATGGCAATTATCTGCCACACCAGCAGTGAACCTCAGCGATGTGCGGCGAGAAGCAAGACTGGAGAGCGGGATGGACCAACATTATGCTCTTGCCTAGCGCTTGTTGCCACAGCTGTCCTCGGAGCTTTAGTCAACAATCATCTGCGCATCTGCAGTTGTGTCCTTACCAGACTTCTTGTTTTACCATATTGTGTACGTTCATACGAGTCCTGTTTAGCACGCACGTAGTCAATTATAGATCAGTCAACATCACTTGGGGGGGAAGTCCGAAATGGGTAGTTCAAATAATAAAAATGTCTTCTGATTTTATTCTTCAATTTTTCTATCAATGCCAGCCTTCCGTAGCAAGAGGCGTAGCCAGCCTTCGTTAATCGACGCGCGTTCTTAGTAACAAGCACTCTAATCAATGGTATCAACATTAACGTTATTGAGAACAAACAGTAAACAATCTATCTGCAGATAACTTTAGTGACCAACTCCTACATCACGAGTACATATGTTAGCATTACCTCATACGTATATGCACACTTAATTCATCTACAAGTTCACAACGACGATGAAACTTCTCTGTACTCGATCCTTCATCGCACCATAAATCCGTGACAGGCGCGCTTTACTGTTCGTCTACGACTCGATGTACTATTCGATACCTTGCCTCCTGAAACCACTCACAGATATGGTCAGCAACAAATTCCAGCACATTTTCAAGTTTCAGACAAAATAGGATGCAGTGATTGTAGACGAACGACAAGGATTATTCGGCTGAGGTTATTTTTAGATGTTCAGTCGATTTTCGCAGTTGACGATACTGACCTATCGACAGTGACCTGTTGAGCTATTTAAATATTTGCTTGGCTCAAACGAATCCCATCTATAACTGCACCTTGCACCAGAAATTACACACGAAGGGACTTCCTTTTAGTTCACGTGGAGATTCCTCTGGACAAAATAGATTAGATCCCTTAATTTTCGATATTTAACTCACTCCAAATTAGTACTGCGGTAAAACTTGAAACGTTTCAAAACTTCCTCGAGCAATTCGTGAATTAGAATCGACAAACAATCGTCACAGGAGAAAAAAGGGCCAAGTTATACCGTGTTATTTAATGAAGCGCAGCAAGTGAAGTGATCCGCGAGAACAAACAAAGGACCATACATGAAAGCAAGAAGACCTAACTTCAAGCTGAAAGTAGGCATTCATTTTTTCAAAGGTGTATCATTAGTCTAAAAACAGCTTTCAAGCTCTATTCAACTAAGAAAAATACAAAGATATATTTCACTAAAATCAAATTTCGCTAGATTCTACTTGCTAAGAACATCTTGAACCGTCTGTATGAAAAGAGCAACATCAGCGACTCACTAGATTTCGACGACGTGTGACGAGCCCGTTTAGTGGCGTCAAGAAAGCGCTTAGCTAAATCGCTAACTTTAAACCGAATATCACATTCTCAAGGTCATTTTGATACGGTCTAAAACTTAACTGCTTACAATTCCAATCCTCAGCACTATGAACGCACATCAAAATATCAATAGAAAGGGAAATTATCACTATTTCTAACGAAATGTTACATGTAACACAGTTCATCGCCTTAATCACTAAAACTAATTATCTCCTTGACATATAACGTAATAGACCCCAATTTGCATACGTCTGCAAGTAGAGTCGCTTTTCCAGGAACATAAAAATAGTTTACCAATTCTTCGACAATCTTATTCGTCCGTAACACTCTGAACCGTGAGCCACACACTTGCTCTTTATAATCCAACCATGGATTAGTGGTCTTCAGCTGGGGTTGTTTAAGCCAACAGGAGATCAATAGAAAGGTTTTAATTCATCAAGGTATTACCATTACACTTAAGACTAGACAGCACCCCAGAGAGATGCCTAGCAAAAAGATGTACAAAATGATGATTTCGTTTAGAGAGTATTAAAAAAGTAGGAAAAAATGTGGATTGAGAAGGATAAACCTAAAGAAAATCAAAACTCATTGCATAGTCAGGTGGATAAATGAGACAGAATGCGCCAACAAAGAACATACGAAGAGGTTGAAACATAGAACAGGGCATAGAAGAACCTAATAGACGTCCTGAGCAAGAAAATGACTTGTTTCAGTTTTCAGAAATATACATATACGCCAGCAATAACGGCTGAAAAAGTTGCCGTTGACGCGCTTCTTCATACTTCTTCCCGTTAGTTGATATCTAACAATAGAGGTCGCTGTAACAGAACAACTGTGTGACACTTATGCACCGAAGATGTACTACTTGCCAATTTCAGAAGAAATCGATGAAGCCAGAAACTTGACTGAAGCATTTGCAGGCTAATTACGCAAAATCAACGCATTGCTCATTCCACTCAACGCTAAATTCGTTCATAAATACCATCAATGTGTGTCTGACAGGCGTTATAAGCAAGTTAACAGCCGCTATGTTCTTCCTAAACTGCTACGTCTAGTACATCAACATTTTGACGAGGAGCTGGCAGTAGCAAGACTAACACCTGGACAGAGTTGAACACTAGAGGTTCACTGTTCAAAGGACGTGACGAAGGCTAGTTTTGATATCATGCGGAGACCGAAAACAATTGGCAAAATTCGTCCCGGCTCAAAAGTTAAAACGCTGATTTGAGGGAGCTTTACACAACAGGATTTGCCATCATAATATAGATATGAGAACGCGATCATGTTAGAAGAGACCATAAAGGTGGAATAATATTCTAAGCACAAGGCATCCAATCTATGAACTACCAAGTTCATCGTTGCTAAGAAATATTTTAAAAATCGTTCACACCCTATCAAAATTATTATCATTGGAGACCAAGTAAGGGTTCATAGAGTACTCGACTAGGGAAAAATCTTAAAATAAAACAATTTATTGTGGTTATATAAGTACGTCGATTTTTGCACAAAGTAAAAAAATCAACTAGTTCACTCGGTATACTATGAAGCGATGTGTCCTTTTTGCAGTGCTTGTCGAACTGATACTAATGAGAACACTCCTTAGGACACAACCAGAAATTGATTTGACGGTATCGAGCCAATAGAAGATATGCGCCAGATTTTAGGAAGACAGCTTATCCCGAAGAAATGTCATCAGACGTCGTTGAAGCCGTCATCTTCTCTTTGTTGGCGCGCACCGCCTCGGCTCGTCGCTCCTGCAATGAGAATATAGGCATCTGGTTAGTTTATGATCGAACTGCGGTATTTGAGAACACTTCAAACCTGCAAACAGACTAGCATGAACACTGCCGAGGCCCTGAAACATCGTTAGCCGTTACCCTATAAAGGGACCTCAATACTAGGCAAACCAACCCACATTAGTAGTCAATGGATGCATGCAAGACGAAGCCCTAGTTCGCGTCACCTTTTATGATTGATGACCGAAGGCAACAACAATAGCAGTCCATGTCTAATGCCCAATCTAAGGAATTGCGAGAAATTACTATTCCTCTAATTTACATATTCATCTTGACCAGGAAATGACATGCTACGTCCAAATACCTGCTCTTCGCGAATTTTCCTGTTCTTCTCGGCCATCTCTGCTCTATTTTTCTCAACTAGATCAAATTTGGCTTTAATTTTTTCCTCAACTTCCTTCATTCTATTTTCATGTTCTTTCTCTTTATTTTCGATAATTTTTTCAATTTTGTCGAGAACGTTTGTCGGCGGTCGAGCGTTTCGCTCATTTCTGATCTTGTCGACTTTAGCTTCGTAGCTGGCGATCTCTGCTCGGAGTTTCTCACTTTGCTCTTCGTGTTTCTTGTTGAGGTTCTCTTTAAAATCTTCTACTTTGGCCAACTGAAGAAAAAGGGTGCAAAAAAATGAATCAGACGCACTTTAAAGGAAAAATAATCAAAAATATCAAAACAAGCGGAACACACGAAGCGAACACATGACAGGTGCACATATAGCGGAGGAAAGGCAGGTATAAATATTTTGATCTCCAGAGCCGTCGAACATAGATAGAATAAAAAGTTTCAACAAGCGGCAGAGGTGGAAAAGGAAATCAACGAAATTCGGTGATTTAAAATCAAATAATAGCCACATGGAACGGTTGAGGTAACCAAATTCTCATTAGAGTTGAAACTACAAGGTTCAACGGCGAGCGCGAGAAGGAATTCAATTATAATGTATATATAAATCGAGTACCAATAGATTTGACGGACTCCGCTCAAGCCTCTATAGCTCTCAGTTCCGTGGTTGGCATTAAAACTGAATAAAAATGTGCTGGTTTATTCAATAACGTAAGAACCTACGTGAACAAATGTCAATCAAACGGCAATATCCCCAAAAGGTGTTCTGCGAAAACTGAGACTTTACTCAAAACACAGTGATACTACACGAGGACTCTTTGATCAACAGCCTTGATGTAGACGGCGGAATGCAGGTGTTGAGGCCAAGTCATTCGCCAGTGAAAAATTACGAACAGCTTTATTAAACAAGGACCAACTAAACCCACTTACGTGGTTCCTCAAGGCTTCCAATTTCTTCTCAATTTCCGCCTCCCTGTTGTCGGTGGCCACCTCTTGCTTGATGCGAATGCGCTCTTCCAAGTCACGGACTGCACGGTCGTGCGATTCGCGGACGCGTTGCACGGACGCTTCGTGAGCCTGAAAACGAAATCCTTAATACCAACCTGTACGATTACCATTTTTTGACTATCTCGATCACAGGTATTCAGAGACTAACTCGATAATTTCTGTACGTTAGTCAGAAGTTCAACAAACTTTCATAAAATTTTTTCCCATATTTTCTATTTTTCACTGTGCTCTCAAACACTGATTACACTCTTTCCACGATATTAAAGCTTTCAATGCCGGCATTGGTCTAATTTAGAAGTTAGCTAAATTTATAGACCCTTGCTTCCACCCGTTTTTTTTCTCGAATAAACCTTAGACGTCATCGACAAGGTGCCAAAGCTTTCAAATTTCACCGGAAACCGTTAGTGGCAAAACAACAAAACAACTGTACTACGAAAAAGTAACTGCTTCGACGAACAAAATTCACAAGCGCTTATCATTTATTCATCTCGAGTTCATACGAATTCCTTACAAACCTGGAGCTTGGCCATGATGGTGCGCAGATGATCATCGCGGTTTTCTTGAGCAGACGACATCTTCGAGAGAATTTCCTCTCGCAGCTTCTCAGTCTGTTCCTCGACGCTCTTGCGTACAGTTTCAACGCTGTTCAGCTGTAACCAAGTAGAGAAGGTTAATTCAACAAAATCTACTACAATTGCACACGTCTAACATTCGAAAAAAATTCCCTTTCGCTTGGGATAATTCGCTATCTGTGAAAGTCTAAGGTTGATTAAAGAGAATTCAACTCTCTTCTGGCCATTTTCAACAGGCCGTAAGAACTGCAACTATTATTTTCGGACTACCCGCAAGTTCATATGGGAACCTTTAAAACCATAGTTCAGAGGCAACAATTTCATTACAATGGTGCACAGATGGATAAAAATTCGATTATGCATCAAGACGACGATTCGCCATACATGACCAAGTTCTCTTGAAGGCAATGTATCCCGGCCTCAAGAAGTCGTGTGAAATTACATACTTGAGGAATTTTTACTGACATGATCGGCCACTTTAGCCTTGAGTCCATCGAGATGAGCCTCCCGATTGACAGAGGAGGCGTCGAGCTTAAGGTCCAGCGCAGTCGCGGTACTGCAGATGAACTCGTCGTTTGCCTCCTGACGCTTACGTGCAGCCTCCTCCAGCCGGCATAGTCGCTCTCCGATGCTGGCTACGCGCTGCGCCTCAAGCGCCTGCCAACAGTCATTAGTCCATTAACGAAATATTCAAATGGAGAACAAATTCCACGCTTGCCGATAAATGAACAATTCATTACGGTACTAACTAGAAATGGTAAAAAGATTAGTTATGTATGTAAAGAAAAATAATATTAACAAGCGGATACAAATGAATAATAAATTGAAACTCGCCTTACGACGCTGCTCAGCGAGCTCGAGCTTGTTCTCGATGTCCTGCTGGGTGATGGAGCGAGCAGGAGGAGGCGAGGGCGACTTGGCTGGAGAAGAGGGGCGTTCGGTCACCGCCTGCGACAAGATCACCTCGTAGCTCATGCCCCCTCGCGATTTCTCCTCGGCACGGATCTCGGTTGCTGCACAGTCGAATCAACTATATTAAAAAGCCATCAGGTAAATGAGCTGTGACTTGGATGCAATGAAAACCCCTAAATTGAGCGTTAGAAATACTAGGGAATTACAAATAAATGTATAAATGATGAGACGTTCGCCAAACAGAACAATTAAACAAATTGACCGTCATTTCAAGCGTCCTCAACTTCATACAATATTCCTAAAAAATTGAGTACGTTCCTCAATTTCTCTCAACTAACTCAGCTCAACTCGTGATCAAAAAAAAAAAAACTATTTTAAAAATTGCATTAGAAAGACGTGGTTTTAGGCAGTAATCTTTTCAAAGTCATTACAATATGCACGAGGCATATGAAAGATCATAAATATTTCAGTTTGACTAGCGGCAAAAATTTTTAATGGGTCTAACGTTGCGCATCTAGTGCATCTAGTTCGATCAAAACTCGAGCATGGAGACTGTAATATAGCAGGCTGAAAAAGTTCCTAATACTTGCAATTAGACCGCTACTAAGATCAAGCGTGATCAGTTTTAGCATATGCGTTAAATTTTAGGTTTCCGTCAGTCGATCTGCTGATCCCGATTGGCGTACCGGTTACAATTATAGGATTTTAAGTTCAACGCCAGGGATCACGCGCTTCATCTCTTAGCTACTAACTCTAGGTGCCGCAGCTCTTTTGTGTCCGATTTGCTACTATTTGTTCCCGAGTATTCAATGTTAATTTTCTAGTTTCCTATTTCCCAACCGTTTTATAAGACTACCTGTTCTGATTTGTTCCTTTATTAGTTTGCAGGCAACGCATTCATTAGGAATTCGGGACAATACCGTCATTGGGTTTGTTCGTCATTGGAGTTTCTTATCTCGTCCAGCCCTAACCTTGCTTATTTAGCCAATAAGGAAGCGTCTTGCTGTTTCCAGTCATTGGTAGACGTGACGAGCGGACCATCCTAACTTTTGAGGTGACGGAAGTGGTAATTTGAATATCCAAAGCTAGTTCGTCACAGAATTGATGTTCTAAGAACATCAAACTAGGATGTCAACTGCACGATAGGGGCAATTAGAGCTCTCAACTATGAAGGCATAACTAAATGAAGTCTGACAATGAGGCAAAATTTTAGGTAAAAACGCTATGATAATCACTTACCTGCGTAACGAGAAGGCTAAAAACAGAACATTCCCAGTGATGAGCCAAGAGCCCAACGTTATAAGACTATTTCTAGGTTACACAACTCCTAGGTGTAGTCAACTTTTTCACAAAATTTATATCACGACGGAAAAGTCTTTCAACATGTTCAAGTAATACTTGGAAGATTTTTCTGAACCTTTCCGTAACTGTCATACGATGCATGTCAGTTCTACGGCAAAATGTTTTTCGAAATTCAATAACGACTATAGGTAATAAATTTACAAAAGAACAGAAATGCAGTGAAAGCGTTAACATTGGTGGTATGAATTTTTCATGCAAAAATTGATCAACCAGTGCCAAATGTAGAATTCGAATATATAATACAGTACGAATGTGAACTGACCAGCTGACTGAAAAGTTATATATGGCCTTACCATGATTGCGTCTGGTTTTATTTGGCTGCTTGCAGCGAGGTTTCTTGTTGATCTTCTTGGAAAGCGGCTTCTTGTGCAGGTGCCGTCCTTAGCAGCGTGCGGGCAAAGAAAGCAATCTTTTTCTAGCAGAACAGGTCGGAAATATGTATTCTCTATAAAAATCATTTATTTAATGGTCGGTGAACATACGATTTGGGGAACCGTTCGAGAATATACTAATTAAAATCTATTTCGTTATTCTGAATATTCTATTGAACGGCCTTTAAAAAAATCGGAAAAGCCTCAACTCAGATTGTTATGACAAAACCAACTAGGTCACTGCAGTATTGTTTTAGACTTGGTAAACTACGAGGAATTCATACACAGGACACACCCAGCAAATGAGTAGAATATAATTAATATTTCGTTGAAAAACTGGAAGAGTCCTCAAAACTTATGACCGACCACATCAACTGAAGTAACTTCGCTGTATGAAGAATAAAGGAAGAGGGAAATTGGACGTCAGAGCTCCGCTATGCGTCTCAATTACACGAAATCAGGGAGCCCATTGAGGGGAAACTGAACCAGGGCCCTGACAATACAGATGGCGATAACGGTGCTCAACAGACAATTCAGTTCAACAACACAAGCACACAGAAGTGCAATATAAATAATTTGAAATATGACGGCAAATCTTTGATGCATTAAAGACGAATCGGGTCGATTTGTTGTCATCTAGGAAATACATATTGCGCAAATAAAATTGAACATTAAATGATTGTGAGCTATCAATCAAAAGAAGTATGTTTTGCAAATATTCATACATTTTAATAAATTATCCAAGCCTTGTGAATTTGACTGAGGTACTCGCACAAAAAAGAATACATGCGTAGCTCATCGAGATACAATACGAAAGATTCGTGCCATCTCAGACATTTCAATATTAGGGCAACGTCAAGTTTAATAGTCTAAATATTGATACGATTTCATCGACACCATAAATAGCTGGTCCAGAAAATAGACCGGCTGCACTGCACCGTGCAGAGGTTAGGGACAGAAGAACTGAGCACTACACACAGACTAGCAAGCCACTGGTAGCCCTGGTGCGTGCCACCATTAGTAAGATAAGCATGGCACCTCCAGCTCGTTCTCATGCAACGCTCCGGCTGCAGTCTTCAGGATCAATTTTCTGCAGCGAATGCACCTAAATATCTGTATACCCTTCATGCAAATTATTTGCGCAGATTTTGAAGCGATTTTGATGGAACTTCACTGTGCTCAAATACGTAATAAACAATGTGTATAACGGTCACAATACCTTGAAAATACGTTGCGTGAAAATGATAAGACGATTAACTGGACCATATTATATCAGCTAAAATGAACAATTATAAATAGGAAACCAAAAATTGCAATATTATCGGTTCGGTTTCACAGTCACCAAGAACACAATCGAAAAATTCGGTTCTTACTCAAACCCACTGAGCCAAATTAGAGAATCATTCCGAGTAGGAAGGAAAACATCATGGAAATCAAAGAATTGTCTATATGCAAATACGTCAAGAAATTAAACGACTTTCGATCATCAGGATGTCAGAAAATGAAGGGTAGAGACATCGGCCAAAGACAAATAATCTCCCTCAAATAACAAATTATGACTACAGTCCATGGGTTAAATTTTCGAACCAGGTTACAATACAAGGCAATTAAAATTGAACCTAAATGATTATTCAAGTTCTACTTGGAAGTGCGCAAGCAAAATAATGACAATTGATAACTAGCTTAATTCGTTTAAAACACAATTGAGTTGTTGACCAAGGGCTGTAGGGTTTCTGAAGTATTCTCATCTATCTGGCAGCAGACCTGCGCAGGTATGAGGGCAATCAATAGCGGGGCCAGGGTGATGGCGCCACGTAATTAGTTTCAGAGTTACTGCAGTCGTCGCCGTTACTGAAGCCATTAGTAGACAATGTATTTATTTCCAGGAAATATTCATAGTAATGAAAGCGATTAAATACTTGCTTGACTAATCAAAGGTGGAAAATTTTTTAAAACAATGCGTTACTGATTTGTATCATGAAACGCAGAAGGAACCATTCGCTCTGATAACTGCAACTTTAATTCCAGACCAAATTTTGCAACGCGATTAAGAGATGAATTACGAACTGAGCATCACTTAACGAGACAATAATAGAAATGATATTGAGTAGGTACATACCGTAAAAAGCAATTGGAAATCGGATTCTAGACTTTGGCGTCTCTGAATAATTTTTCTCGAAATAAACCGAGACGAGACGAGAAAAATAAGGGGACAGAATAAAAAATTAAGGGGACAGAATAAAATTTATCCCAAAATAAACGTATGAGCCGGGACAAGATTTGTGTGCCGGACTTTAAAACTTATGTCCCGGTGATTATGGAACGATATGAGATATAAAACGAGACGGTACGTACCGAGACGAGACATGTCTTTTAAATTCAAGGCAAACTGGCAAAACAAGATATTTCTTACTATACGATAACAAATCGTAACATTCCGAACGCGTGATTATTAAATACCTACCAAGTTAACCCTCAGACTGTCAAAGGGCTGTTGCCAGTCATGGGCAGATTCGGCGGAATTTGGCAGCGAAACTTATTTGGTACTTATATAAGTGGGCAGAGTTGGCGATGTATGGCTGAATATTTAGTGAATAATGTTGCTGTTGATCCATCAATCGCCCATGATGATAACCAGCACGCTTAATGGCATCATCGTGCAGTGTCGATTGGCAGCCGCTTAGAAGAGTGTGGAAGGGCTTTCTGAAGCCCTGCAAGATGTCATGAATCAAATATGGTAACTGGAAATATTTTAAGGAGCTAAGAACAGGCGAAACCCATCACGACCCGAGGTATAAACCAGGCCAATCGTCAGTGCAAACTGTTTCGATATTTACATGTTCAATGATGCTAACACATCGAAAATGCCATGCGTAGACCTCTTCGTGCCGTCGCTGGTTAGCTAAGGCTGGAGAAACATAACGCCGGCAAAAAAAAAAAAATACTATGGCATTAGACGAAATTGAGAACATCTGCAATGAAGATGCGGCTTCATGGGATTATACAAGTTGTGACTTGCACGAGAATTGTAGACCAATGCGTCGTAAGTTACCAGTACACATGTAAGTAACCAGAGCCCTCCTACACCCTAGCGAAGCATTGAAGCAAGTCTCTTATGCCATCACCACATGTAGCCAACCGCAGAGGAGAGTAATTAGTCGCAAGTAGAGAACGCACCACCTTATGCTCTATGAACTTGTGCGTTAGACCTATCGGCTGGCTATTCAATTTTAAACAAAAAATTGTCGAAAAAGAGGCAAAATGGTTTCCCTGACATGTATATTTCGTAAAAAGTTGTTGGCTAGAAGCAGGCTCACAACGGGCAGGTACTGGTCGCTCCTCGCTATTAACCCCTGAAGCAGGCAGTACTTCTGTACAAGAGGCCACTAGCCTAGGTAATTAGTGACGATTAGACCGAATGTAGTTCAAATCGAAAACCAAGCATCGATTCAGGCCGCTGAGATTAACTGACGTAGAAATCTGTAACGATTCCTCCCGTTACGCCTTTCGAACAATTATGGTTTTCAATTTCACCCTAGCCATTCATATTTGCTAGATGCGCAATATTGATGTCATTTTACATAGAAATATACCCGAAACGTTGTCAGCAAACAAAATGTTTGCTCGACAATTTCAAACAATTCATTTCTCTAAATACATTTCAAGGATTAACTATTATGTCTCGTTACGTCTCGCTTCGTTTCGTTATAAAAGAGGAACATTCCGGGTAATTTTAAAACTCTTATTTTAACTTGGACGTCTCGTCTCGGTATTGTTCCGGAATTTCCAAGGAATGCTGAATTAATCCGGTTTTCATTGCTAACCGGGACAAACTATGTTGTCTTGCTTCGTACGGAAAAAGTACCAAACGCAGGAGTCTATTGGCGTCAGCACACATAAACATTGCAATCAAAGTTTGATTCAAAACGAATGAAGATTGGCTGACGAAAAAAAGTTTGAAATAACGTTGCGGGTAGTCTCGTTTGCCTTCAATTTTTAGACTAGGCTGTAAGTGCTACACAGTTTGAATTTGTGATAGGTTAGATGAAGTTCAAAAATCTGTAGTATATGGGCGACACCGACAAAAAAAAAGCTGTCATTTCTTGGCAATACGACCCGCAATTCTGTAAGAGATATCAAAATTGCAGGCGAAAAATTAGCTTCCATTACCGCATGAAATCTTAAATAGAAAAACTTTATTCGCATCTTATAGAGTAAGTAGTCAATCATATAAATCTTAAAAATTTGATAGGATTATGATTGACCTGACTAGGACCTGCTCTAACCAGGCATGAAACGTTGACTTCCTTGCCAAGAAAATCACAGCTGCGCTTGAGACAACGCATGAAGCGGTTTTATGAGGATACCTTAGTATAATAGAAGCGGCGGTAGAGGAGTAGAGGATGAGGTGAAAACTTAACGCACCACAATGAAAAAGGAGCATACAGAGTTCCTATAGAAAATATGCGGTAAACAATACCAACATTTCACTTATGCGAATCGCAGAATATCTAGCAAAATATTCTTTGGACTAAGTCACCGACAAAAATATTTCTCAACCCGATTCCAGTAGGAATTGTTATTTTAGTAACCCACTGGTAAGACTCCATTGAAGGTCTTGGACGTCAACAGTACCAACAATATTGTTGACGCATGACCAGTAATGAAGACAATGATCGCAACTTCAGCTTCATCTGCTGGGTAATCATCAAATCTGGAAGTTGACCAATTCAATCAATGATTTTCGAAGATCATGCAGCATACTTTATACGAATCAAATAAATCTACATTTAGCTATAGAAACGTAGGTATCATTCGGAACTCACCTGCAATGGCCGAGTTCACTGAGCATGTGTGACAAAAGCATCGAAGGAAGGAGTCCGTAAAAAGTCCAATGATCATGATTGCTAACTCGAATGGATATCCTAATTAAACAATTATTTCAATTTGGTACAGACTTTAATAAAAGAATGTAGGCCCTGTCGGAAATGCCAAGAAAATAACTAGAAAATAGCTGAGAAAAAGGTATCGGCATAGCGACCACGCTCCAAATACCTACATGCATAGGGAACAAACCAAATATGCACTTGCCATACGTTTATCTACTTCATTATTCGTATTGCAATTAGTCAGATTGCATTTCATCACGCAATGCAATAGAAAATGGATTAATTATCAGCTAGAGCGTTGACGAGTAGTGAAAAATAATTACAGCGCAATAAATAAGGTCAAATGGAGTAACTTCAATGCAAAAAAACTATGCACCCCAGCACATGAACGCTACCCTGATCGTTTGAACTGGAACAATAATTCAAAGATTTGGATGGAAATCCATTATCATCAAATTCAGCTTTGAGAACGACACCGGCAAAAAAGGCGTGGTACTCTTCCATGCAGGGGACGATAAGAAGTTGACCCAACGTGAACATCGATCGACACACCGGCATCAAGTGCAGTGAGTTTGAGTTCTCTGATATCGTGACCAAAGGCAATAAGAATATTATACGGGCCGGAGCAGACAATGGTAAACTTGTGTGATGGGTGTTGGCCAACGACACAAGCGGCTGATTTCAGAACACCACGAACACGACGACGCCCAGCACAAGACTGACTGGAAATGACCCACCGACTGGAGTCGAGCTGCTGGCTCAGTGTGGCGCAGCACCAACACTCCGGGGACAGGGAAGGAAGCAGTTCAGGGGAGCGGCTGCCTCTGCATCGTCACCATGGCATTGTAAGCGGGAAATCAGAAGATAATTTCAATATTACGCCCCCAGTACTTCCGCCTACCACGCTAAGTATTTTGTTCGCAGTAATATATTATCGTTAACGAATACGTGTAAGGCTAGAAGTTAGACACTTTACAGATGCAGCAAGCGAGAGTCGCAAGGGGTGTGGTTTGGAGAGAGCGCATGCGCCGTTTGTTTCTCTCGGCGTCCAGGGTTTCGCGACTGCCCTGACTCATTGAGACTCCCAAATGGACACCCAGAGCTATTAGCCAGATATACTTACATACTGAGCGAAGGTGGCTCCTTAGGCTCCTCTTAAAAATACAAAAGATAGCGCTCTGCTTCAATAAGAAAGGCGTATTTAAAATATAATGATAATAATAATAAACTTGAGTTCTGTACGTTGCGAGTATAATTTATTAATTCAAAAGTCGGTAGTAATTTTAGCAGTCACAAGTTGCCGAAACAGAAATTTCACTTTAATACATGAGCAATATATGAAAGTAAAATCTCGCACCAAATTGGGAAATCTCGAGGGTGCACATGTTTATTCATGGTGAGCTTAAAACGATATTTCCAATCTTCTAATCAACCATCTCCAAGAACTCAGTTCCAAGAAGCAGAAAATCTCGAGACAAGAGGCTGAGTCAGTAAACAGCCCAAGATCCCGAACTTCAAAGAGACAGACACTGTCCCTTCATTCAACTAGCAAAGAGAACACTGGCCGTCTAACTAGCTGCCAGGACGCTTATCAGGGTTCTTGCGCTAACGAGGCCTGTCAAAGCTAGTGTTCGAGCTCACTGGAGCTTCCTGCTATTGCCAAGCCAAGAAGACAAAAAACAGACTTGTCTCTTTCAAATGGTTTCTACCAAGTCTATTTTTCTACACGGGATCATTCTACCAGTAATTTACTTTAACAAAGCGCCACGTCAGCGAACTCCAACCAAAATATTCCAATGCAGAATTGTTTGCGATTTTGACGGAAATCTATTAAAATAATATTAACAGCTCCATGTCTTGCTCTCATATTAACATACACGAATATGCACTACCGAACGAACATAGAACAGCTTGATGGCATAAATATAAAATGAGCATATATGTAAGTAATTCATAACAAATTTCTAGTGACAATTTTGTCATTGAAATCGCCAGGTGATGAATCCTGATGTATCCCCAAGAGTCTATGGGACGCTAGCAAAATAGAAAACTGACGCTAAAAATAAAATCTTACTAACTGCCCGTAAACTCTAAGCACTTCGCACGATGAAAAAACTGTTTATTCGTACGTTTACTTGCCAGTTCAGCACAATTCAAACGATAAAAAGTCGAAGGATACACCAATTTTTTACGGTTGATATGAAATTTCCCTACTGAAATGAAACGCTCACTGCTTTTTGAGGCTAAACCCTCCCCCAATACGTTCAAATCGGGCTTCAGGTATTACTATACGACAAAATTAGATTCACCGACATGTAACAGCAGCTGTCAAGTCGCCTTCTGAAGGATTCCAAAATGCAATTCACACATGATTTACCGTCGAAGGAAGCTCCAAGCTAAGAATATCTGAATTACACCCGGGCCCATATGACATTTCGGTGTTATTATAAAAAAAACTGTAAATGCTAATACACGATTCACGCGGCACACAAAAGGAACCTGCTTGAATGCTAGCGGTCAGGATATGAGCGGAGCGGGAAATGCCGTCAGTGAGATCACTGGATAGTATATTGCTGACACCTAACATCTTGAAGGAAGATTATCATAAAAAACTGATAAGTGGCTCTTATGCTAGCCGGTACGAGGTTTACATATTGCAATATTCCAACATATTTCCTCCATGCATTAACGACGTTTATATGATCATTTTTTCATTTTTGTTTCGTGTACCCAGGCTGAGGTTATTTATGTAAACCGAAAAACTTCATTAGCTCATTGTTAATAAAACAAAACAGGTTTATGAGTCACAGTTCAGTTAAAATTAGATTGCACCTATCCTAGGACTCGACTGAAACGCAGAGAACAAGCCAATCTTAGTATCCACACGAGCTGGCGGAAAATAAATCATGTTGCCTAAATTTCTAGCAACAGAAATTGGAGAGGCTCTATGGAAGTTACGTATTAACTATTAATTTGCTCGTTATGTGTGGAAGATGCAAGAGATCAATCGCTGGACTAGTCAGGTAAGTTGGCTACAAGTCTGTCTATTCGATATGGATGACGTCTAATGTCAGGCCTGAGCCCAGGTCCACATCTCATGGGGGGTTGAAGCTGGCGCCACACCAAGCAGAGGCTCCACCAGGTGAGCTGATCAATAGGCGTGTCTGACGAATCATGTCAACTCGGCTTCAAACTTCCCTCTACAGAATTTCATGCAAACTTCAGAAGACCGAGTGGTCACAAGTGGATTCAGGAGTTAGCCTAGTACCCTTATTGCGAAAATCGATATTAATCGAGTACTATAAGGGTTTTTTTCACTTAAATGGCAGAACCATAGGAATTCTCAGATTCAGGAACTTAGAAGCGCTAATTAGCAATTATTAGGAGTGATCCACACGAGTCCAGTTAATCTAGTAGTATTCACATTTTTCATATTTTAAAATTTCTAAGTTCACTTCTTCCAATCTTGAAGTCGAACTAATACCCTCAAAAGAATTTTCAACTGTAAGCAGTAACTCTATATGTACAGTAAGCAGCAACTATAGTATCCTTTGTAATTCTAAAACGTTTGTACAACCCTAATAAAATATTAATAGCACTTGATGCAGGCGTACCCTATAAATCGCAAAAAAATTCAGGTTGATTAAAATTGTTCCATTTTTCTTCGTTTCATCGGCATCCTATTCTTCGAAACTTCTGAGCTTGCAAGCAATTGCCGCTGAACTTCAGATCTATTTTTACTGAACTATTACAGAAAACGACCATGCCACCGCGCCCATCACCCGTCCCTACCCCTCAAGCATCCATTAAAGCAAGAGAGGGTGAGAGAGAAGGCGAGTGAGAGACGAGCTCCACAAGAGCGCCAGCCTCATCGATTGAACATAGGCCGCAAGCAGCAGCTGCAGCACCACCTTTTGCCGCATCCACTTAGTACGAAACTAAATATTCGAGCGATAAACCTCTTGCATCGAATGCAAATGAAATTTTAGTTGCACGAACAAAATTCCAGCTGCAGTTCAATAATCTAGGGTTTTGAAACTTTCTCAACGGCACCGCACGATTTCCAAGTCTAATCTTCCGAGATATTGAATTGGCAACATAAATGACCCGCAACTTCCGGTTCATTCAAGCTATTGAAGGCATGAGGATTGGTGACATCATCCGTGAGGTAAAATGTAGTTAGACATGCAGTGGGAAAACACCAATAACGCGCGAGCCATGATGTTATAGATTTAATAAATAAGGTCGGCAGAGCAAGACCGTGGATGATGAACTTGCCGTCTGCGGCGCGGCATCAAGCAATACGAAGACGAAAAAAGCCAACGTAGTTAGGAGGAAAAGATGCGGGTAAAAATGAATAAATTTTGTACACAGAATGGATGTTAAAAATGACTAGGTGATTGAATAAAATACAGAAATACAAGATTGCTTATCAGGCGAACGAAGATGTGTGAAGATGCAAGTGTATAAGAATGGATAAGGAAGAAGAGTGCATCTTTAAGGCATGAGTCACGCCGGCCGTAGCTCGCCAGACGAGATCAGCGGCAGGCGAGCTGGAATAGCCGGCGAGTGTCGAACCTGTGATCACTGCTGTGAACTAGAAAATTTACAACCGCGACTAATGTTTCTCAGGAGTCAATATAATCCGGTTTTACAAGCACAAGGCTATCGTGGCTGTTCGATGTAGTCGAATACAAAACAAGCAGCAAACTTTGAAATTTTCGTTACTCCGTCGAATTTTAAATAGACGCAAATGTGCAAGTTTCTTTAATACATTACCTAAAGAAAAAACATACGCAGCGATTGCAAAAATAAGAAGTAAAATATTACGTCAATTAGGGCATCATTCGCATGAGGCCACCATAGTAGCTAGCCGCTCTTCGTTCTATCCGATTATCCAGGTTCTAAATGCCCCTATACTGCGAATTCGACATTCTCGTTGTAGTATGGCTTTTGTGTCCGCTGATACAAATTGCCAAGTGTGAGCAGTCGTTCAACGCCGAGTTATGATAAGAAGTTCGTGAATCAATAGAACTTCCAACAATGTAAGAATGATTTAACTGCAATTTGCAGCAATTCAAACGTAGCGATATAAAGGTACAAGGTTAATATTTT